GTGGATCCTTGAGGGGGGGGGGGTAGCTATATGGTGCCCCCCCCCATGGATCCACCATATATATATAAATAAATAAATAAATAAATAAATATATATATATATATAAGGACCCTCATTTAGAGAACGTCCCATATGTCAACCTCAGATCTGCAGTTCTTTCCTGAATCTCGGACCAACCGTTGCCAACTATAACAAAAAATATCTAAAACCCAGAAGCATACAAATAAATGAATAAAACAAAAAGAATATATATATATATATATGTATAAATAAATATCCTTGCTCAACTCAAACCCGGATACTTGCCCTTAAACCCAGACCCCTCAGCCCCCCCAAAACCCCTGAACCCTAAACCCCCCAAAACCCTAGAAGCCCCTTTTAAGCGCCAACGTCCCAACCACTCCAGGCCCGTTAAAGAATCAGCTCACCTGGATGGGCTTCTTCCTGTCTCTGCCCTCAGCCTTAGCTGCATCCTCCCATAGAACCGCGCCGATGAGGAGATTCAGCACATTCACGCAGACCACACCTGCGAAAGCATATAGAGCAAGGCAGCCCCAATCAGGGGTGAAGAGCCCTAAGTGGTTTAGGTCTTCAGGATTCAGTGTTTAGGCATCTGGAATCAGGATCCTCTTCCATAACTTTTGGGATTAGGGTTTAGGGTTACTTCAGGCTTGCACGCCCGAAGAGATGACGGGTTGTGTCAAGGGTATTTTGGTTGGGGTACGCCCCCTTCCTCGAGACAATCCGTGCCGCCATGAACTTCACTTGAGTGGAAGTTTCCGGAAACGGGAAAGCGTGACATAGACCCTACGGTGTAGCATCTTTATCATATGGACCCCTGGCAACAAGGTATCCCTGATTGAAAGCGCCTCCATCACAACACCAAATCCTCATAAAACCTTTTCAGATAGCAACCCTCCGCCCTAAAGCCCTAAACCCTGAACCCCCACCTAGGCAAAGCGTCTTGAAATGCAGCTTGTCAAAGGTGCGAGCCACCAGGGGACCTTACTTGGCCATGGTCTGCTGGTTGTACTTCGAACAGTTGGGAGTTTCCGAAAATTAGGGTACCTTATTTTGGGGTCCTTATAATAGGGATCCTACTATTTAGGGTACTATATTAGGGTCCCCTATTTTCGGAAACCCCCAGTTTTTCTTATATGGTACCCCAAATGGAATGGAACATGCGTATACATACACACGCAGATAGGTATACCACAAAAAAAAGTGCAATCTTGAGGGTGCCACCTGGTTCAGTTCAACTCGTCAGGCTTCAGACACTTTAGGCTTTTGGGGTTCAGAGCTTAAGCCGGGCTTCAGATTCAAGGGCAAATCAGTTCATTATGTTATGCCACAGTATACTATACGATACTGTACTCTACTATACCATTAGACATATACATATGTATATATATATATATATATGGTTTAGATTAGATTAGATTAGATTAGACTAGACTAGACCAGATTAGACTAGGCTCGATTAGATTAGACTAGATTAAATCATTTGCCAGGGTTTCCCAGGGAGCGCAAGATGTACCTTCCGTCATGTGGCTTGAGTCATTGACAGGTGTTCAACATGGCTTTGCAAGGGTCGTCGAGTCTTAGAGTTAGAAGGAAGTACACCTGAACATCCCCCCTCCAAAACATCGGAATATATCCAAAACTCCAGCCTAGAACTTCTTTATATTTATTCTCTTTCAATGTACATCCATGAACACCCTAAACCCTAAGCCCCCCTAAACCCTAAACCCTAAGCCCAAAGCCCTAAACTTTTAAACCCTAAGCCCTGAGCCCTAAACCCTAAGCCCTAAACCCTAAGCCCTAAACCCGAAGCCCTAAACCCTAGACCCTAAACCATAAAGCCCAAGCCCTAAACCCTAAACCCGAAGCCCTATAATGACCTCATGGGGCTCTTCCGGGTCTCTGCGTTCAGGGCTCAGGCCAGGCGACGCAGATTTCGGGGTGAATGATCTCGTATAGGGTATAGGGTTTAGGGGTTTAGGGTTTAGGGGTTTAGGGTTTAGTGGTTTAGGGTTTAGGGGTTTAGGGATGTAGGGTTTAGGGGTTTGGGGTTTAGGGTTTAGGGATTTACAGCTTAGGGAAAACATCCTACGTCAGTGCATAAGCACCACGCTTGCCCCGAACACCTACACATGCCTACACTCTACATATCTCTAAAGCCTAAAGCCTGAGTGAGCACTGACCATTCATCCTAAGCCTTAACCCTAAACCCTTCACCGCCAAACCCCACACCCTTAACTCTGAAAGCTCATATCACCCTATCCCTCGAGAAACACCGGGCCACAAGAGACGCAAGCTGAGCGCTGAAACTGCAGCTCACCATGAACCCACCCAAACAAGCCATGAAACCGCCAGCCCTCCCTAAACCCTAAACCCAAAGCCCCTAACCCTACAAACACCTTCGGCACTATAAACTGCATAAATTCCATGAAGCCTGCGACCTCACAACCCCACAAACCTGACATGCACGATAAACCCTACATCAAACTCTATAAAGCCTGAAACCGCAAACCCTACAAACCCCAGGAGCCTCTATCAACCCTGGAAGCTCTTGGAACCCTGGAACCTTAACCTTAAACCCTGGAGCCTGCACTCTACACCACTAGGTTAAAGGGCTTAGGGTTTAGGGCAAGTCGCCGGCCAGCGCCCCGGCGGAAGTCATAACTCGCTGCAGAGACAGAACTCGACTGAGCTCCTCCTCGGAGCGCAAGAAGTCCATGATGTAAGCCTGGCTATGGGGTATAAGGGTTAACCCTCAACGCTAAGCCGCTAAACCCAAACCGTGCTTGCTTTACGGGGATCTGGGTTCATGGTCCGGTTTGGGCTCGAGGGTCCGTCTTTGTAGTGCTTAGGGCATCGCTACTGCTGCTACTACTACTACTACTACTACTACTACTACTAATACTACTATTACTACTCCTACTCCTACTCCTACTCCCACTCCTACTCCTACTACTACTACTACTACTACTACTACTACTACTTCTTCTTCTTCTACTTCTACTTCTACTTCTACTTCTACTACTACTACTACTACTACTACTACTACTACTAGTACTACTAGTACTACTACTA